CACCTACCTGACCCCAAAAACATAACCTAAACCTTGGTCCTAAACCTAACCCCACACCTGAAATTAGCATCCGGTCCCCTCCCTGGCTGCCTTTTTCTGGAGAATGGTTCCCATGATGTAGCACAAAGGTGCGCACACACACACACACACACACACACACACACACACACACACACACACACACGTTCGGCTGCTGTTTGTGTGTTTTCACAGCTGCAGATGTTACTCTGAGCTCCTCCACATGAATCTCTGAGGTTTTAACACATTTAATAATTTGTTCACTCTGAAGATTTTAGTTTTTTTCAGCTGAAAGCTTTTAGCTTTTAGCTTTTAGCCACTGTTTTTGCTACATTTAGCTTTGAACGATCAGTSTGCTACTTCTAGCTAGCCTTTTTTAAAAGTCTGAACCGTTTTCATGACTTCTAACTTTTATCTGACATTTAGCGAACCTTTGATYCTTTGAGCTTTGAGCTACTCTCCTGATACTTTTATAATTTAACTTTTCAATATGATTAGCTGCCGTTTTGCTGCTTTTAACTCGGAGCTACCCTGTTCTTACTTTCCGCTCGCCTTTCGGCTGCTGTTCGCTAACATTTGAGGCTTTATAAATTCCCACATTTAGTAAGAYTTGCACACCATGACAAACTCACTCACACCTTCAGGTGTTTTCAGGTGAGAGATTTGATAAAACTCACAGTTCACTGKTGACAACGAGTCGTCCTTGTTTACCCCAATGAATTACACAAACTCACGTTGTTGTTGTGGTAAACAGCTGCTCCTTGATCTGCAGCCAGTGTGTGTGTGTGTCAGTGAAACCAAAAGCACTTTTATTATCTGAAAGGAGCCAGGTGTGCTTGTCAGCATGGCAACAGGGAGTGACAGTGAGTCACGGAGAAACCCAAAAAGGAGACGTTCATTAATTGAAATGATCTCGTTAACGAGGAAATCATTTATTAAAATTCTTTTTATCTCAGCATACAGATGCTGTCTGACAGAAATACAGAGAATAAAATGTTATTAGCCCTAAAAGACCGTAAATATAGAGACATTTATGCTTTTATTTTTGAAACAACAGGAAGTAAAATAGACCTGTTGTCCTGCAARTGCAGTTTAAGAATAGCAAAACACAGAAGTAGGCTAGGTAGAAATACCAGAAGGCTAGCTAAATTTAACAGAACAGGTGTTAAATTAAAATTAGCTTTAAAAGATTTAGCATTGATAGTACTGACATTAGTAGTAATAGTAGCAGTAGCATTAGCAGCTGTACCACTAATAGTAGTAGTAGCATTAGCTGCAGAAGCATCAGTAACTTTAGCAGGTTTTAGCAGTAGTAGCAGCAGAATTAGCAGCAGCAGCATTAGCATTAGTAGCATAGCAAGAGAAACTTTAGCGGCAGTAGCGTTAGCATTAGTAGCATAGCAAGAGAAGCTTTAGCAGCAGTAGCATTAGCATTAGTAGCATAGCAATAGAAGCTTTAGCAGCAGTAGCATTAGTAGCATAGCAAGAGAAGCTTTAGCAGTAGTAGCATTAGTAGCATAGCAAGAGAAACTTTAGCGGCAGTAGCATTAGCATTAGTAGCATAGCAAGAGAAGCTTTAGTAGCAGTAGCATTAGTAGCATAGCAAGAGAAGCTTTAGCAGTAGTAGCATTAGTAGCATAGCAAGAGAAGCTTTAGCGGCAGTCGCATTAGCGTTAGTAGCATAGCAAGAGAAGCTCTAGCGGCATTAGCATTAGTAGCATAGCAAGAGAAGCTTTAGTAGCAGTAGCATTAGCATTAGTAGCAGTGGAATTAGCATTAGCAGTATTAGCAGCAGTAGCATTAGCAGCAGTAGCATTAGTATTAGTAGCAAGAGAAGCTTTAGCGGCAGTAGCATTACCATTAGTAGCATAGCAAGAGAAGCTTTAGTAGCAGTAGCATTAGTAGCAGTGGAATTAGCATTAGCAGTATTAGCAGCAGTAGCATTAGCAGCAGTAGCATTAGTATTAGTAGCAAGAGAAGCTTTAGCGGCAGTAGCATTACCATTAGTAGCATAGCAAGAGAAGCTTTAGTAGCAGTAGCATTAGTAGCAGTGGAATTAGCATTAGCAGTATTAGCAGCAGTAGCATTAG